AGATGTGAATAAATACAAGATTACATACTGTAAAAGATTAGTAATTAAAAATAAAACCACAATACAATATCAAAACATGATATTTAAACAACATTTACATAAATCTAAATTAGACTTAAATTAATTATGTTTTAGCAGTGTCAATTTTTAAATGGATTGAGTTTGAAACAAAAGAATTTCTATAGAGACAGGTGGTGAGTGGTAGTTGCCACCGGAACTACTAAAAATAATGGCATGATATAGAGGACGAGTCGTGCCGTTCATTATGTTCTTACGTTTTGTTAAAGTATGTTCTTACGTTTTTGCCAAAGTGTAGTTGTTATAAATGTCATCCAGATGTAGAATATTCTCTTTAATTACTTTCTGTGTAGTTTTCCTAATTTTGTCTAATATATTTACATTTCCTTCTGTTAGGCTTTGGTGTCAAAATTTTCAATAGGCTATAAAAATGGTAATTAAAAATCGACACTAGGTTAATTTGTTTTGTATCTGTTTACATACAGGTTTTTGTTAGTGCATCCAGGTTTGTTAAAAATTATACAAAGTTTCGATTGGTTGAATGGAAAAATAATGATATTTTAACGTTTTCCGCAATAAAAAAAATACTGAATATATTTTTGGGGATTGTGTTTTAGTTTTTATTTTTCAAGCTTTACCTAAGACCTGGATAGCAAATTCACATGTTTCAGCATTTTCGTAATCATCCGTTGCTGTGTAGACAATCTGAATAAACGAAGTGGTGACTGGTATCATACCACCTGACTGGTATGGTGCAGCTACGACCGTAACATTGTCATTACTATTGTCACTAGTAATAGGTGTATCCCAGGTGACGGTTGCATATGAACGACCTTCATCTGCCTTCACATATATTATACTTAACATCTCACTGATGTAGTTATTTGAAGTGACATTTGTAGGACAACTGATAACCGGAGGTTCTTTATCTACAAATAAAATAATGTATTATTAACAACAATACATACGATTTTGTACATTGTAAATTTGGATTTGTTCAAATGTTATTTTCACTGAATGTTATATGTTAGGCTTACCTTGAACAGTGATTGTAAAGGAACACATGTCAGTATTTCCATATGGATCTTCCGCTGTGTACGTCACTAAAGTATCACCTACTTGGAATGCACTGGCTGGTCCAATATCAACAGTAAAGTTCACTCTACCGGAGTTGTCCTCAGCGATTGGTTCATTCCAAGACACAATAGCAGTTGGTAGGCGGAATGTAGTGTTTACTGTTATATTGTTTGGACAAAAGGTAATAACTGGATCCTCATTGTCTGCAATGAAGAATATCAAAAAATACTAATGACTGAAACATGTGAGAGAATGGTGTATCTTCTATTTTATATATAAATTTGTTATGAGTTTTAACAGGTAGGATTTTAGTACTTGAAATCGCCATCTGTAAGTAATGGAAGCAATAATAGCTGTGTATATGGATAAGTGGCTGCTATCAGTGAACAGTTAGTTTATAAATACCACTTTAATTTTTAGATGATATTCTAATAGTCATCCAGAACGGAAATAAAATTGTAAAAAAAATGTGTTATTTCATTTAAGAAAATATTTGTATTATGCGCTGTACATATGTATATATACTGTGTATAGAATAATAGAATAAATACCTTCGATCGCTACTATCACTACACTGTACAAGATAATTTTTTTTGTCCGAAAAATTAGAAATTAGTTTCCACTGGCAATTATACAAAATATAAGCAACATAATACAGCAAGAATAAATACAAGATTACATACTGTAAAAGATTAGTAATTAAAAATAAAACCACAATACAATATCAAAACATGATATTTAAACAACATTTACATAAATCTAACTTAGACTTAAATTAATTATGTTTTAACGGTGTCAATTTTCAAATGGATTGAGTTTGAAACAAAAGAATTTCTATAGAGACAGGTGGTGAGTGGTAGTTGCCACCGGAACTACTAAAAATAAAGGCATGATATAGAGGACGAGTCGTGCCGTTCATTATGTTCTTACGTTTTGCAAAAGTATGTTCTTACATTTTGCCAAAATGTATTTGTTATAAATGTCATCCAGATGTAGAATATTCCCTTTAATTACTTTCTGGGTAGTTTTCCTAATTTTGTCTAATATATTTACATTTCCTTCTGCTAGGCTTTAGTGTCACAATGAGAACGGAAATAAAATTGTAAAAAAAATGTGTTATTTCATTTAAGAAAGTATTTGTATTATGCGCTGTACATATGTATATATACTATGTATAGAATAATAGAATAAATACCTTCGATCGCTACTATCACATAGCACGTGGCTTCATTGCCTACTGGAAATGCACTGTCAATGAAAATATGTTTAATTTCAGTTTCACCGTTTGGTAATACAACAGTAGTCTCAACAACAGTGTACGTCTGGTTAATGGTTATGGTCTTTTGGTTTGCGCCTTGGTAGTTGATAAACATTTCATGAACTTGAACGTTATCCATGATGCTAATGTTGTAGTCTCTTATACACATCTATATAGAGTCGTGCCGTTCATTATGTTCTTACGTTTTGCCAAAGT